GGCCGGCTGTGCAGGCGCTCTGCGAGCGCCGCGGCCCGGTCCCAGGGCTCTTAGGGACGCGCGGGCGCGTGCAGGGCGAGGCCGGTGTCCCCGTGGGCGTCCTGGCCTGCACCGAGGCCGGGGTGCGTCGGACGGGGGCCTCGACACCCGCCTGTGCGCGCTCGCTAATGCTGCCTTTATTTCCGCAGTTCAAAATGTCCAGTAGTGATAAAGAGCCGTTCCTTGTGAAGTTCTTAAAGTCGTCTGACAATTCCGAATGCTTTTTAAAAGCCCTTGAGGTAAGAATATTTGCAACGTCTTGCTAGATGCTGTGAGTTTTTCTTGTTTTTAAGCGTGTATTTGATTTACTGGGCATTATGTCTTAGAAATAGTTATTTTATTTTCATAATGATGTTACTGTAGAGTCCATTTTAATATGCAGTATCATCATGATATTTTTTAATTGATGTAAGGTTATTATTAGGTGCTTGGGGTTTTAAAATCTGTTCCGGCGTTTATGTTGAATGTGGCTAACCTGCAGTTTTTGGAAATTAAGTTGTTTTCTTTTTGTCTGTTAACCAGAATGGTCCTTTGAAAAACTGAAGTCATTCCTGTGCTGGTCACATGTCAGTCGTGGTTGTGAACATCACGATCCCTCAGTGTACACTGTAGTGGTCCCCCAGTAGTGTGGAATGATGGTAGGGGTAGTGAATAGGTTTCCTGCTGGCATACCCTGGCAGCATGCTGGGAGCAAGGGAGTTAGAAATGCAGACTCTTGGGGCCAGCCAGTAGTGTGTGGTTATGTAGCTGGATCCTATAGGACTAACTTGCGGTTCAAGTCCCAGACCCAGAGCTTGAAAAACATGCCGTGTGTGTGTGTGTATGTGCCCAAAATCTTACAAGGAGAGATGGAGACGAGATTGAAGCATGGCCATCCCTGCCCTGGGAAGGGAGGTGCTCTCCTCACTTTACCTCATTATCTGTCTCTCCCTGGCGAGTTTATGCACCCTCTAGCAAAGTAAAGGGGAAAAAAAAAAAAACGCAGACTATTGGGCCCCAACGTAGACATACCAATCAGAATCTGTATTTTATTTTATTTTTTTGGGGGGGAGAGGTTTTTGCTGTAGGGGGCTTGCGCTCGCCAGAAAGACACAGAGACAGAAAGCGAGAAATCCCCCCCCAGGAGGATGGCCATGCCGCAATCCCTTCTCCTCCATTCTCCTCTCAGGATCCTGGGCATGTATGCACACGCGCCTCACGTGAGTTTAAGCCACCGGGTCTGTAACTCGAACCACTGTCAACTACATGGGCGTCCAGGGACGTAGCCATTAGGCCAACTGCTGGTCCCAAGAATCTGTATTTTTTCAAAAATGAGGCTCATGATGTTGTGATCTTCCTGTCTCAGTCTCTCAAGTAGCTGGGACTCAGCGCATCTCAGCCCCTGGCGGATTAGGGTTGGGCAGACAACCTGAACCTGGCCTCCTGTGTGGCCTCAGCGTGCTGAGGGACAGCATCAGACTAGACCACACCACCACAGCTTGGCCGGAATCTGCATATTTAACAAGATCCTCAGCTCACATTTTGTTTGAGAAGCAGTGTAGCAGGTTTTTTCCCTTAAAATTCGTTCAGTAAATATTTATTGAAAGGCACTGCTGGTGTTGGGATACATCAGTTCTGAGAGCAGGCAAAGACTTCTGCTCTCTGAGAGCTAATGTTCTAGTGGGAGGAGAGAGATACTAATCGATATGCTAAACGAGTCAGCTATGGAACAGCGTGCTATGGGAAGAGGCAAAAAAGATTATGGGATTCCGGAGGATTTTGTTGGAAGAAAAAGAAAAAAAGGCTACAGTTTTAGATAGAGTATGATCAGGGTAGACCTGGTGGAAAAGATGTTTGAACTTGACAGAGTGGGTGTTAGCCATGAGGCTATTGAAAGGAAGTTTCAGGCAAAGGGAACACCCATGTACGGGTCTTGGGAAGGTTCTCGTCCAAGGTGTGCCTGTCCTTTAGGGCACCAGGGAGGGAAGAAGAGGATTAAGGGGAAAGGGGCCCGTGTGGCCTTATGGGCCGCTGTAAAGACTGACTTCCTTGCAGTGAAATGAGAGCCACTGAAGGGCTTCACTCTGAAGGTTAACGTGATCGGAGTTATCGTTTTAAAAGGGTCATACTAGACTCTTTAGCATAGGACTTTATAACGTTTTTAGAAAATACGGTATTTGACTACATATTCCTGTCAGGATGTAGGTAGCACACAAGGTAGATCATGAAACTTCCGTTGTTGTGGGGAGAAAGAAACAAGCCATGTATGTATAAAACATCAGTGTTACTTCTCCTACAGATTAGGGGATGGGGAGGGTGTTTGGTTAAGCAGACCTGGGTGAGAGAAGGCCCTGGGGAGAGTCTGAGTCTCTGCTGCTGGAACACGAGCACAGCTAATGGGTCATTTCAGCTTAGCTAGAAAGCGGGAGTGTCTAGAGTAAGCAAAGGTATACGAGGTGGGAGGTGAGGGTCAGGAGATAGAATGGGTATTGTGCTTTTGTAGGCCATGGAAGGAAGTGTGGATTTTATTTTGAGTGTGGTGGCAAGCCATTAGAAGCTTTTGAGCAGCCGGTGACATGATCCTCGTTTATATTTATATTTTTTAAAGAATTATTTATTTAACTTTATTCATTCATTTATTTTTAATTTGACCAGAGAGAAGAGCAGGGAGAGTGAGAAAGCAAGCCACCAGGTCTGGGACTCAAACCATGGTTTGTCATATGGGAGTGTCCAGCACCTTAAATACCATGCCACCTGCTTGTCCCCCTTGTTTATATTTTTTAAAAAGATAACCAACTGGGACCAGCAGTTAGTGTAATGGCCTTGTCGCTGGACTTCCATGTAGTCGACTGCGGTTCGAGTCCTTGACCCGGTGGCTTAAACTCACGCTGGGCATGTGTGCGTGCGTGCCCAAGATCCCAAGAGGAGAATGGAAGAGAAGGGATTGCAGCGTGGCCATCCCCCCTGGGGGGTGATTTCTCGCTTTCTGTCTCTCTCTGTCTTTCTGGCAGGCTCACGTGCCCTATAGCAAAAACCTCTCCCCTGCCCCCCCCCCCAAAAAAAAAAAACATACACAATACAGAAAAACCCCTCCCCCCCCCCCCCCCCCAAAAAAAAAAAAGATAACCAGTTGCAGTTTGGAGAATAGATCAAGGTCAGTAGAGAGAAAAGGAGACCACAGGAGGCTTCTGCAGAGGTCTGGTGGGGAAATGACGTAGTTTTCAATAGCAAAAACGCTAGATTTGAGATAGATTTTGAAGATAGTGTTGATAGGACTTAAATATAGGGGACTAATTTCAGGTACATTCTTATTTTATTTTTTAATTTCAGTCAATAAAAGAATTCCAATCAGAAGAGTATCTTCAGATTATTACAGAAGAAGAGGCATTGAAGATAAAGGAGAATGATAAATCACTTTATATCTGTGACCCTTTCAGTGGCGCTGTCTTTGATCACCTTAAAAAGGTTTGCTGACTTTTAGCGTTTTCTTTTAATAGTCTTTTATTTGCTTCAGTAGACAAATTCTTTACTAATCATGAAGGATTAGGCAGATCATAACTATATTAAAATTCATTCAGCCTAGGGAGGTCAGAATAATATTTTTTAGAGGTTAATTATAGGAGACTTAACGTAGTTTTTACATTTCAAGGGGTATAGTAATGAAGCAGTTTACTGGTGGAGTTTATTGTACTTAAACTCAGTTTGACTGCAAGATACTTTAAGGAAACAGTAAAGACTGGGAAGACCTCAAGGTAGTAGTGCTTGGTAACTTACCATCTTTTCTGTGTTCTTGGCACAGAATTTTCCTACCTTTACCTTTGTTAGGGTCTGAAAAATTATTAAAAATACCCGTATATTATTAGTAATATACCAGTGAGCCATCTTACTTCTTTTTGTTGCTTCTAGAGTCTACTGACTCATTACTTTTTTGGTGTCTGGACAAGAGAGAAGCATTGAAATTAAAGTAAACTGACTGTAATTGCATCCAGATTACAAAGAAGTGATTCTTGTTTGAAGGAGAAGAAAACATAGAAGAGTAGGTAGATGCAGTGTCTGTACAGTTCACGGAAGTTCTGTGCCCACCTTGCCAAGAGCATTATTGGTCTTGGCCTCTCTTTGGAAATACCACTGCTTGTAGATACAACTCAGCATAGAAAACTTTGTTTTGATTGATCAAAAAGATAGTGGTAATCCTTTGCCTGTAGATATTTAAGTTTGTCGTGCAGTGGTGACTTCGACAACTGTAGGCCTTTTAGTCTGAGTGTGTTGATGTTGAGTAAGACTCACTTTTCCTGAAATCAATGAAAATGAAAAAAGTCACATTTTGAGTTTAACCTGTACTATGTTAGGGAGAAATCTTACGGTCTTCTCTGGAAAGACATTGAAGTGCAAAGTACTTAGAACCCAAATATAAAAACTGCTTAGGATTGTATATCGTGTGTGTGTCTGTGTCTGATGCAGTAGATAGAGAGGAGTTACTTGTGGGCTTTTAAACTCTTAAACTGCTTCATTGGTTGGGTGCTCTATTTGATAAGTACGTATGAATAGTTCTTAATTGTTGTAAGCTAAGATGATTGCATTAAGATTGTGTTTGTTCCAGAGATTAAAATTTTTATGGCTGTTTTGAGGGAGTTGATCTCTTGAAACTTACTTTTGATGGTTTGTATTGTTTGATTTTTGCTTTTGTGTGTGCATGTTTATTTAATACATAGTGTGTGAGAAATTATACAGTGGTCTTTTTTTTAAATTACAATTTGGTGAGTTTTATGCAGTAGTCTATCAACGTTTCTAGATGATGAGAAAATAATACAAAATGTAATTTCATAAGACTAGTGGTCTTTACCTTCTTAGGTTACTAAAATTTTTTTTTTTTTATAGCTTGGCTGCAGAATTGTTGGTCCGCAAGTAGTCATATTTTGTATGCACCATCAGCGATATGTTCCAAGAGCTGAACATCCCGTTTATAATATGGTTCTGTCTGATGTAACTGTATCTTGTACAAGCCTGGAAAAAGAAAAAAGGGTAGGAATTGAGAGAAATATCAATGAAGTCAATTGATCTATGTATTTATCTATGTATCTCCATACTTAATTTTTCACTGCCTAGGAGATCTTTTAAAAGACCTCACACTTAATAGTCCAGACTTTTTTTTTTTTTTTTGAGAGGTTTTTGCTATAGGGCACGTGCGCTTGCCAGAAAGACAGAGAGAGACAGAGATAGAAAGCGAGAAATCATCCCCCAGGGGGGATGGCCACACCTCAGTCCCTCCTCCTCCATTCTCCTCTCGCGATCTTGGGCACGCACACACGTGCGCCCAGTGTGAGTTTAAGCCACCAGGTCCGGGACTCGAATGGCGGTTGGCTACATGGGAATCCAGCGACATAGCCATTATGCTAACTGCTGGTCCTAGTAGTCCAGACTTTTAAAAAGTTGTTATACAGCAGCAGTATATTTCTTGTTTAAAAAGAAAGAAACTGAATTTAGTGGAATCAATTTTGTTAAAAACTGGCTAATCGAAGTTTCTTATTTTGATTTAATAGGAAACTGATTTTTTTTCCTCTAATACAGTCAGTGAGCTTGCTTTTGAATTACATTTTTTTTTTATGTTAGATGCATTAATTTTAAAGGAAGGCATCTAAGATAGAGCTATAGAATAGTTTCATTATATAATTTATATTTTAAAATATGCATACTATATAAAATATATAAACTATTATAGAAGCAACATAGTTTAATAAATTCTCAGACTTACAAGAGATAAACATAGGGATATAATTTTTCTTAAATTTAAATTTATTTTTCTCTTATTATTTAAATTTATAATGGTGAGAAACATTTGTGTGTGCAAGTTACCAGCAACAGAAGATTTGTGGAATATTGTATAAAAATGGAAGAGGTATTTTTTGCTTCAGTATTATTATATTTTATATAATATATATTATATCATGTGTTTTATATATTATTCTATATTTATATTTTAAATAATTATTATATTTCCTTTTGGGGCTGCAGGAAGAAGTTCATAAGTATGTACAGATGATGGGTGGACGAGTATTCAGAGACCTTAATGTATCAGTTACTCACCTTATTGCGGGAGAAGTTGGGAGCAAAAAATATTTAGTTGCTGCAAACCTAAAAAAGCCCATTTTGCTTCCTTCTTGGATAAAAACACTTTGGGAGAAGTCACAAGAGAAGTAAGAAACACATTTATATATTTTCTAGATTTGGAAAAATAATACATTCATTTCATTCTCTTGATATACTCTAAATTTTTATAGGGGAAGCTTTATGGTATCTTGTATTTAAGAACAAAAATGGTGTCTTTTTTTTTTTCACTGAAATCAAAGGAACAGAATATACAAACTCTTATTATCAGAGTGAGATCATTTAAGTTGACAGGTAGAATGGGCTATGTGTTTAGCTGTACTTATAAGGTAGGAAATCTTGTGGTGATAGAGTTGTTTACAGCTGTAAATGTTGCCCGTGTGTCGTGAACACCGGGACTTCGATGTTGCATTACACGCCAGTACTGTGCCAGTGCTTCGTGAATACTGGGACTTTGATGTTGCATTATATGCCAGTACTGTGCCCATGTGTCGTGAACACTGTGACTTTGATGTTGCATTACATGCCAGTACTGTGCCCGTGTGTCGTGAACACCGGGACTTCGATGTTGCATTATATGCCAGTACTGTGCCAGTGCTTCGTGAATACTGGGACTTTGATGTTGCATTACATGCCAGTACTGTGCCCGTGTGTTGTGAACACCGGGACTTTGATGTTGCATTATATGCCAGTACTGTGCCAGTGCTTCGTGAATACCGGGACTTCGATGTTGCATTATACGCCAGTACTGTGCCAGTGCTTCGTGAATACCGGGACTTTGATGTTGCATTACATGCCAGTACTGTGCCCGTGTGTCGTGAACACTGGGACTTTGATGTTGCGTTGTGCTCCAGTACTGTGCCCGTGTGTTAAGATGGAGACTCACTTGGCCATTTTGACCGTTGTATTCCCTCCCAAAGGCGGCGTATGTGAACATGAATATATATAAGTCACCACTTGATCTGTGATCATCCAATAAATGTTCATCGAGCCCTGTAAAGTAGCAGGTTAAGCCCCATGCTTGGGAATCTGGATCCTACATGCTGGCCGAGGGTCTACTCCTGATTCGAATGGCTTGAAAAATATCCTGGTCATATGCACATTTATGCCCAAAATGCTGATGGAAAGGAGAAATTGAGCAGAAAAGATTGCTGGGTGACTATTACTCATTGAGGAGAGCTTTCTGTCTCCTTGGTGGAGCACATATGCCCTCTGGCAGTAAGAAAAAAAAATACTACTAATTGTCATTTGAGCTGATTTTATGTACCTTCCTGAGCTAGGCATTTAGATACATGTAAAAGGGATAGCTTGCCTTCCCTCCCCTAGTGAGCTTAGAGCTATTGTAAGAGGCAAACATGTTTTTCTTCAAACTTCAGTAGATTAACAACTGCAAGTCCAGGTACCACAGAATTCTATCAGCATATGAACTGTGTAGACAATGTTCTGGGCTTGTTTTCAACACCACCGACCGAGCATATCCTAAACATATATCTTCATGTTGGCAATTTTAACACTTCATCAGCACATCAGCTTAGCATGGCAATCGAATATAATTCGGTATTTTTGTTGGTATTCTGCCAGGAAGCATTGCTTTTACTCATATAGAATAATGGAAGGATTAAAAAGTTCATTATTTTTTCAGGCAACTAAAAGAACCTTTGAGTTTTTAAGTAGAGATTCAGACTTAGAGTTTTGAAAATATACCACTTAGGCCAGCAGGGACTTAGAGATAATGAAATAGAAACTTTTTACTTAAAGCAATTTCATTTGAGATACTCTGTATTTGAAACATTGTTTTTTATTAGAGACATGGTATAGAACTAGGAGAGCAATTAGTGTAATTCTGAATGTATGAACGCGTTTGTCAGTTTTCCTTTTCTGAAAAATGATTATAAATTTTTAGAAATGGAAAAAATACTCGGGATAATTGTTTGTGATTCTTCTGATAAATTTAAATCTGGTGTAGTTAATGTGTTCTTTTTTTTCCTTTTTATACCATTTGTTTCCCCAGAAAAATAGCTAGGTATACTGATATAGATATGAAGTTGGGAGCAAAAAATATTTAGTTGCTGCAAACCTAAAAAAGCCCATTTTGCTTCCTTCTTGGATAAAAACACTTTGGGAGAAGTCACAAGAGAAAAAAATAGCTAGGTATACTGACATAGATATGGAAGAGTTCAAGTGCCCTATTTTCCTTGGTTGTATAATCTGTGTGACTGGCTTGTGTGGCCTGAACAGGAAGGCAGTTCAGCAGCTCACAGTTAAACACGGAGGTCGGTACATGGGACAACTGAAAATGAATGAATGTACACATCTCATCGTGCAAGAACCAAAAGGTAAGACTATATTTTGCAAATGGACAAGTGTAAAATTTTCTCTAATGTTTACATTTTGCAATCACAAAATAGCTTTTGCATCTGACATGTCATTAATTTGGTTTGATTTTTTTTGTTCTCCTAAAAATCTTGCAAAGATAGTTTTATGGGTCATAAAAATTAGATGACTATCCTAGTATTTATTCAGCTTATTGAATAACTAATTCAAAGAAACAAAAACTCGTCAGTGATATTTTAATATACATTTACTCTTAGATCTTTTGACTTAAAAAGAAAAATTCCCCACAGTTACCAGATCTCTACTTAAAAGAAGTTTGGGAGACTATCAAGAACACTAATACTAGTTATAACTCAATGATGATCCTTCTAATAACAAATTTAAAGGGCTTGACTTAATCTCTAACTGAATGGATCAGCTTGAAAGAATGAACTAGAATTTTATTTATTAATTTATTTACATTCAGTTGCTTTACATCAATACAGTATACAAAATGAGATTTCCCATCCAGCATACATTGTATATTGGCTCAAGGATGTTACCATACATGTTATTGTTAACAGAAATTTTCCATTTTTTGTTTCTTATACATATTTTGCCTTTTTTCTCCCCCTCGATTCCCTACCTCTCACCCTTTGCCATTTTCCACTTCCTTCCACGCTGTCTCTGGAATCTACAGCTGCTTTCCATGCCCTTTTTTCCCCTCACTTTATTGATTCACTAAAGATCTTAATTAATCTACATACTTCCATAGCAAGCACAGCTAATAAATATACATATCTATTAACACATGTATGACTTCAGGTGTAAACCTCAGTAACTGAACATACTGTAAAATAGCACCTAGCTGGGGCTATATAACTTATTGCAGTTGTTAAATAGGTATTTTTTTAAGTGAATTTTTTAATTTCAATAAAAACAGTGTTAGTTTTAGTAGATCAAAATGAAAAAATAAATTGGGAACCAGCAATTAGCGTAAGGGCTATGTCGCTGGGCTCCCACGTAGTCAACCACGGTTCGCGTCCCAGACCCGGTGGCTTAAAACTCATGCCGGGCGCGTGTGCGTGCGTGCCCAAGATCCCGAGAGGAGAATGGAGGAGAAGGGATTGCGATGTGACCATCCTCCCTGGGGGGTGATTTCTCGCTTTCTGTCTCTATGTCTCTCTGTCTGTCTGGTGAGCGCACGTGCCCTGTAGCAAAAACCTCTCAAAAAAAAAAATAGTTAAGAGAAATTTGTGTAAGACTTAAAGCCAGGAAAAAGGTTAGGATTCAGTTCAAACAGGTAGGGCAACTATCAACAGTGCAAGAGAAGGCAAAAATCCTTAAATCAAGAAAACAAAGCATAGAAGAAAATCAGTAGTGTTTTAGTAAAAAATTATGAAATTCTCTTTCACCAGTTCAGTCTCATGTAATTAATCTCTCTCCTATTGAATTTGCAGTGTTACTGTGGTCCAATTTTTCCATTTAAATTTTGGAAGTTAACATTCAACTCTGGACTCGTCCCTAACATTTCCCTGACCATTTTCTTGTTTGGTTTTTGTACTCTTATTTCTGGGCGTCCGACTTTAGTCTTCCTGGCATAGCACTCCCTTCAGAACTTCTTGAAGAGGTGGTCTGATGTGGGTAAATTCTTGGAGAGTTTATTTATCTGAGAATATTTTTACCCCCCCCCCACCCCATGTGAAGAATAATCTTGCTGGGGAGAGTATTCTTGGTTGAAATTGTTTTTCCTTTGACAGTTTGAGTACATTTTCCTATTCTTTCCTTGCTCTCACTGTTTCTGATGAGAAGTCTGATGTTAGCCTGGTAGGATATTCTTTGAAAGTAACTTGACATTTCTCTCTTGCCATTGTTAGTATCTTACCTCTGTGGTTTTGGTCAATCTGGCTACAATGTGCCTTGGAGAAGATCTTGAGTTGATTCTGTGTAGGGTCCTTTGAATTTCTTGGGTCTGAGTATTTGAGTGCCTCTCTAGGTTTGGAAAGTTTTCTTCCAGGATTTCGTGGAATAGATCATCAATGCCCTTATTAGTTTTTACACCTTCTGGGATACAGATTATCTGGATGTTTAGGCATTTAATGGTCTCTAGTATTACTCGTACATGATTCTTATTTTGGGGGGTCTTTTTGTTGAATTTGTCTAGATTCTGTCTAGACAAAACCTAGAAGACAGAGCTTCTGTCTTCACCTGAGATTTGATCATCTGCATGATCTAACCTGCTGTTAATTCTTTCAAGGGAGGTTTTGATTTCCTGCATTACAGCCTTCATCTCTAGCAATTCTGTTTGGTTCTTTTTTATGATCTTTCATATCATGCAAGAGCTTCACCTCCTGGAACTCATCGTCTCTTTTCTCCTGCATCTTCTGGAGTTCATTGTCTCTCTTCTTGTGCATCTGTGTTTGCTTTGTCACTATGAATATTTTAAATTCTTTATCTGACATTACCACCAGTTCCTTTGTATTGTCTGTGGAGGATGAGGAGTTATGCCTTGCTCTTAGGGAAGAGATATTTTCTTAGTTTCTCATATTGGGCTTCTGCTGTGGTTTCCGGTCATCTGGTGGATTATATATTTTTTTCCTAGTTTTTGGAATTAAATCTGAGGATTCAGAGGCATTCAGATCTGCAGTCTCTAAGCAGTGCCAATTTTCTCCCTTCGTGCAGCAGATTTCATGGAAATTGAGGGTTAATCTGACCCTGAAAGTATTCAGATATTTGGCTACTGTGCACCTAGATCTGTCTAGAAACTCAGTGTGTAGAGGCTGAACAGAAAAGTGAGAAAGTTGAAAGAAAAAGGGAAAGAAAACCAGAGGAAAAAAAGACAAAGACAGTAAGAAAACATTTTTTTAAAGCAAAAAATGAAAACCACATGGTGTGCAGAACTCAGATATAGATGGCTCATGATTGACTTGTCTTGTGTGGGTGGGTGTGGGGGGCTAAAATTGGCAAGATAAAAGAGCGTCAAAGAGCTAGGAAGTTTGGGAACCAGCAGTTAGCGTAATGGCTATGTTGCTGGACTCCCACGTAATCGACCGCGGTTCGCGTCCCGGACCCGGTGGCTTAAAACTCACGCCGGGCGTGTGTGCGTGCGTGCCCAAGATCCCGAGAGGAGAAGAGGAGAAGGGATTGCGGCGTGACCATCCCCCCCCTGGGGGGTGATTTCTCGCTTTCTGACTCTATGTCTCTCTCTGTCTGTCTGGCGAGCGCACATGCCCTATACCAAAAAAACCTCTCCAAAAAAAAAAGAGCTAGGAAGTTTAAAAATTAAAGAAAAGAAGAAGAAAAATTAAAACTAAAGAGGAGGAGAGAGACAGAATACCTTGCTAGATCTGGGAGGCAGGAGAGTGAAGTCTGGGCAGAAGATCTTCAATTGTCCTAATCTCTCAGAATGAACTAGAATTTTAACTTGAAGATACCTTGCAGAACTTGAGGTAGTTAAGGAAGAAAAAGCATTACCAAGAAGACTTTCTAAAGTTACTATTTTATAAACTTTTTGTTCGTCTTAGAGAATTTTTTTTTTTTTTGGTATTCTTAAAATATATACAAATTGGTAAGAATTTTGTTGCATGTTTTTTTTTTTTTTATCTCTTTATGTTGTGTTTTACTGAGTTATTTATATGACAAATAAAATTTGAAAAATAAGTTACCACATTAAGGCTCATTGATAATTGTCTTTAAGGCAGAGCTTTAGGAATGGCCAACTGTGACAGGATGAATGTAAGTAGAGTTGGTACTTAGATTTCCTTTTGGAATCTGAAGATCGTTCATCTGTTGGCACTCAAGAATTACCCTTCTTCCCTGCAAAAATAAACCTTTCATTTTACATATTGACTTTTTCTGTGATATTACTTCAAAATAACCACAGAAAAGTTAAAGTGTTAAAGTTTTTTAAGATGGGATCAGCAGATAGATGGCGTAATGGCTATGTCGCTGGACTCCCAGGTAGTCTTACAGCAGTTCAAGCCCAGACCTGGTGGCTTAAAGTCATACCAGCGCTTGTGCGTGCGTGCCCAAGATCCCAAGAGGAGAATGGGGGAGAAGGGATTGCAGTGGGGCTATCACCCTGGGAGGTGATTTCTCACTTTCTGTCTGTCTGTCTGTCTTTCTGACAAGTGCACTCGCCCTATACCAAAAATCCCCCTCCCCCCCAAAAAAGGCTTTTTAAGATAATTGATAATATGTTTTAAAAATAATTATTTTATTTATTTGCTTATCTGTCCTGGACTTTAAGTAGAATCCTGTTGATATTGGATAGTCTATTCAAAGTTGGTATTTATTATGGTGCATATATTTACTATTTTCAGTTTTGTGTTACGTATTCTTTTTTTTGGGAGAGGTTTTTGCTATAGAGTGCGTGCGCTCACCAGACAGACAGAGCGAGACAGAGAGACAGAAAGCGAGAAATCACCCCCCAGAGGGGATGGTCATGCCGCAATCCCTTCTTGGGCACGCATGCACACGCGCCTGGGGGGGGTTGGAAGCCACCGGGTCTGGGACGCGAACCGCGGTCAACTACGTGGGAGTCCAGTGACATAGCCATTACGCTAACTGCTGGTTCCCTGTTACATATTCTTATTAAAACCATATAATTATTCTATGATTTATCCCCATCTTACAGATTAAGAAATGGTTTAAAGAAATAAAGTGATGAAGCAGTATTATCTCAGTTATCCCACAGTTGTCTGTTTTCATGCAGTTTGTGTAAAGGATAAACCCCTCACACGGCATGTGCATTTACACAATGCTAGTATGTAGAAAATGTAATTACAAACGAATGTAAAATGTGACTTTGCAATACATTATGCTTTATAGTGTTGAAAGTGAGAGTAATTACTAGTAACTTTTGTTTCCAGCTTGTAAGCGATGTGTTATAATTTCAATACTTACGTAAGGATAGGTTTAAATGGTTTGTATTTCTCTGTTTTTCTCTGCTATTTCTTAATAACTACCACAGGTCAGAAATATGAATGTGCCAAGAGATGGAATGTGCACTGTGTGACCATGCAGTGGTTTTTCGACAGTGTTGAGAAAGGTTTTTGTCAGGATGAGTCCATGTACAAGGCAGAGCCGAGACCGGAAGCAAAGCCTATGCCTGATACTTCGACTCCTACGGGCCACATCAACATCATTGATAGTGAGTCTTGTTGAGATTAAAACAAACACTTCTTTCTCTCTTTGCTCAGTTTATTGAACCTTTCAGATAGAGCAAGCACCTGTGACAGAGTGGGACCCCCTTTTGCCTGTCCCCCTGTACAGTGGGCCCGGGGTACTGGCACAGGTGCCTGATGTGTCCTAGCCTGACCTTGCTGGGACCTGAATACAGTCACCAGATGGGATCTGTGTTTTCTGGAGCTGTGTGCCACAGAACTGGCCCTTTTTAAGTTACTTCATGATGAGAGCACAGGTTGGGGTGGCAGGGGGCACCCTTAACAGAGTCTCATACTGCTGTCCCTTGTTCTTAGCCCTCCAGCCCATCAGGAGCCTAGGCACACACTCAGTGTGTTTCAGATCAGCTGGGCTGGGGATCCGAACCCAGAGTTGGCCATGTGGCTTCCAGTACTGCAGTTCAGTTTACTATATACTATGCCATCAGGCTGGGCAAAAATAGACTTTTTTTTTGGAGAGGTTTTTCGCTATAGGGCGCGTGCGCTTGCCAGACAGTCAGAGAGAGACATAGAGACAGAAAGCGAGAAATCACCCCCCAGGGGGATGGTCACACCGCAGTCCCTTCTCCTCCATTCTCCTCTTGGGATCTTGGGCACGCATGCACATGCGCCCAGCGTGAGTTTTAAGCCACCGGGTCCGGGATGCGAACCGCGGTCGATTATGTGGGAGTCCAGCGACATAGCCATTACACTAACTGCTGGTTCCCAAAATAGACGTTTTCTTAAAAAAGTCATTTTTGGGGACCAGCAGATGACATAATGATTATGTTGCTGCACTCCACGGAGTTGACCAGGGTTAGAGTCCTGGACCTGACAGCATAAAACTCAAGCTGGTTACGTGTGTGCATGTGCCCACAATTTGAAGAGAATAGAGGAGAAGGGATTGTGGTATGGCCATCCCCCTGTCACGGGGTGATTTCTTGCTTTTTGTCTCTGTGACTCTACAGCCAGTGCATGCACCCTATCTCTCTTTTCTATTTTTAAAATTTTTTTCCTAAGAATTTTCTGTGTAAGGATTGATTTATTTTTTTTAACTGAGCTAGGTATAATTACATAGTAAGATAACTAAATCGTATGGTTGTATAAGAACATAGTCTTGTATTATTCTTGATAAAAGCAAATTATTGCTTTCTTTTTTGAATTTTGCTTGAGGGTATGTATATATGCTCATCAGAGGAGAGAGAAAAGGGAGGGAAAGTAAGAAAGTACCCCCCCATGGGGGTTGGTCACACAACAATCTCTTGTCCACCTCTCCTTTCGAGATTGTGGATACATGTGCCTGGCATGTCTTTCCAGCCACTGGGTCTGGGAACTGCACAGTTGCCCATGTGGAGTCCAGCTGCCTTAACCATCGTACCACCAGCTGTCCCTGATACTTACAGGAGGTTTGCAAAGAAATTAAGTACACAGGTGGATAGACATGTAAAAGAATTAATTTTTTCGGACTTTACTGGTACAAATATTAATACTTTATAAAATTTATTCACTATGATTATTACAGATCATCTGTATTCATACAAAACTTTAAAGTTTTTATTTTATAAGTGCTGTGTTGATACAATGTCTTTATAAAGTTTTATCCCTCAAATGTGAGCATCTTGGACCTTAAGACAGCAACTTCAGATTTTTATGTGTGAGGCATAATTTAAATGTGCTCAGGGCTGGTCCCATATCTTTGTGGTTAAGGGAGTCAGATTCCACATGGCTGACTGTAGTTTGAGTCCTGGCCACAGCGGCTTCAGAAACCCACTGGGCACAGGTGCATGTCTGCCCCCAGCAGGATGGAGAGGTCGAGAATGGATTATGGCATGATCAAACACCATTGAGAGGGGCGCTTTCTTCTCTCTCTCTCTCTGGCAAGTGCACATACCCTGTGGGAATTATAAAGTAAATAAAATGTATTAAACTCATTGCTGCATCTCTGTGAAAATGAAGGCCATTTTTAGCAGTAAGTCCTGATGTTCCAGAAAATGTCAGTAACACTCTGGAAGAACACAGTTATTTTGAAGGACCCCAGAGGACTCTGCAGAGGGACTTTAATCACGTCAATGTAGAACTCATTCTCCTTGGGGAGAAAAAGAAGAGGCTCCGGGTTGACAAGTGGTGGGAAGTAGAAGGGAACTGGCTACCTACAGTCATGTTCAGATGTGGTCAGTTACAGATGAGCTCTGCATTCGCTTACTCACCCATCAGTGTTATTCAGGAGAATGAGTCTTTTGTTGAAATAAAAAAATTTTGAGGGTAATCACTGCATCCACTGTGTTTAGATGAGGCCAGGTATTGCTTCTCAAACCCAGAAAGGTAAGTTAATCCTTAGTAGGAATGACGGGCTGGCAGATGACGTGGTGGTTAGGGACACTGAACTCCTGCACAGCAGACCATGGCTCGAGTCCTGTACATGGAGGCTTCCTTTCTCATTTTCCTGCTCTCTCTCTTGCTGTGTCTTTCTCTGGTCAAATTAAAGTAAATAAATAAATAAAATAATAATTTTTTTAATAAAAAGGAATGACATTGAATTTGTTTCAAATTGAACTGCTTTGATTGAGCAAGCCACAACAGTTAAACAAGAACATCAAAGATTTTGGATGGTGCCTCTGTCTCTGGAAGAGGAGCAGTTCAGCAGACTGATGAACAAGACCTTGTAGTTTTCAAGAATACTGGATGGCTCCTGAGACCTGTTTGTGATATTTTAATGATATAGTAAAACACCTCTGTTGATTTGAAGGAAAAATGTATTAAATATATTTTAGCATAAGATAATAAGCCTTGGGACTAACAGTTAGTGTAATGGCTATGTCATTGGACTACCATGTAGTCGACTGTGGTTCAAGTCCCAGACCTGGTGGCTTAAACTCAGCCGGGCGCGTGTACATGTGTGTCCAAGATCCTGAGAGGAGAATGGAGGAGAAGGGATTGCAGCGTGGCCATCACCCTGGGGTTGATTTTTCACTTTCTGTCTCTGTCTTTCTGGCGAGCTCACCTGCCCTATAGCAAAAACCTATCCAAAAGATAATAACCCCTGATTAATTTCATTTTCCCTTTTCATGCTTTGCCACTAAAATTTTAGCAAAAACTTGAGTCTTTGGAAATTGTTCATAGCTCTCTGATCATAAAAGTTAATCCACAAAAAATGATTTTATGTTCATAAGCCTCTATATCATTTTCTTTTGTTTATAGGTCGTACTCTTTCAGATGTCAGCCATATTTCCAACATAAATGCAAGTTGTGTAAGTGAATCAATTTGTAATTCAGTTCTTAATAGCAGATTGGAGACTACGCTTGAAAACCTAGAAAATTTGGATGTCAGTGCTTTTCAGGCACCTGAAGATTTACTAGATGGCTGTCGGGTACGTCTGTGTTATGTAATAAATGGTGTGTGGTGATGTATGTTAGTACTTCCTAGGTTTTGAAGACCCTTTAGAGTTGGACTTGCTCTGCATGTAAAGAAGCCCTTCTAGCCAGGAGGGTGTGTTCACTAGCTATGTCCTTTCTTTTACTGCAAAGTCCCTCTGCAGGGATGTGCCCCATCAGTCGTCTTCCACTTTGGTTCAGTTTTTAACTCTCCCTTGAACCCTCTTAGCTACATTAATCTTTCTCTCTACTGTGTTTGATAGTACTTAGTTTCTAAACCACTTACTGGATTTTCACCGACAACTATCGTTTATTAAGTATAGTATCTTGAAGCTAAGACTTACAGGGTTAAAATTCTTCAGACTCATTAAACACACTCCTAAGTGGCCAGTTATGTAGACCAAAGCCTACATCTGGGCCACTGCTTTACTCTCTCCTGGGTTACTGAGCCAGCAGGTGGCGTGGTGGCTGGATCTCACCTGGCCGACTGCACAGTTCAAGTCCGTGACCTAGAAGCTTGAAAACCACGCTGGACGTGTGTGCATGTGTGCCCCAAATCCTGAGAGAATGGAGGAGAGGGGATTCTGGCGAGGCTATCCCTCAAGGGGTGTCATTTCTTACCACTCCCCCAGTCTGAGTCTTTTTGGCAAGCATATATATTCTCTAGCAGAACCTTAAAAACAAAACAAAACAAAAACCCTTAAAGGTTATTTAATTTTTAGTGTCTAAATAGCTCCTTTAAAAGTTAGCTCCTGGTGCCAGCAGGTGGCATGGTGCTTAAGGGTGTTGGACTCCCACATGGTCGACTGCAGCTCAAATCCTGGACCTTTTGGCTTGCTTTCTCACTTTCTCCCTCTCTGGTCAAAATAAAATTCAATAAAATAATTCTTTAAAAAAGAAAAAGTTAGCTCTTTTAAAAGTGCCTTCAGAGAAATGTCATGTACTATGTCTAGATGTGACTACTTAATGTATTCCTATTTATAGAATGACTAAGCTATACATTAATTTTTGCAGAGTATCAAAACTTTAACCCTATTTATGATTCCTGATTTTTGTTAAAATATATTCCAGTATTGAAGGTGACTTAGTTTGGGATATAAATGTAGTTAGGGATAAATTTGTCATTCTTAAATTTTTTAGAAGACACCTTATGTAAAAGAGAGGTGAGAAAGATTTTTATATGATTGTATTGGTTTAAATATATTTAACTTGATTGTTAAATTAATTGCATGCATATAACTCTCAAAGCTTTGTGCTCAGCTCTTTGACTTATTTTACTGTTTAATCAACTCTGAAAAAGAAACCTCAACTTATAGGTGAGAGAATTGGTTTAAAAGGTATAAGGAACTTGCCTGTGGCTATGTAGTTAATCATTGTAAACTTAAAAAACCCAGGATTTTAACACAGGCTTTCTGAATTCAGACTGTTAACCACAGTGTGTTCTGTAACTGCTTTAGGGGTAACTGGTAGTAAAACCATCACAATTTAAGAAGCTACCTATGGTTTAGAAATCGCTGTGCATGAATATTCAGAAGCTGTTTCATTCTGGCTTCTATCCATGTGAAGCCTCAAAATAGTAATCAAGTCTCTACTGTAAAAGCTAATAATGCTGGGGCTGGCAGGTGGCGTGGTGGTTCAGGGCACTGGACTCTGGCCATCCGTGGTTCATGTCCCAGACCTGTTATCTTGCTTTCTGGCTTTCCCCCCATCTCATTCTGTCCCTCTCTGATCAAATTAAAATAAATGAATATCGTTAAATAATTCTTACCAAAAAAAGAAAACAAAAGCTAATGGTACTATGCAATTGTATAGAAGATAATTTTTAAAACCAAAGTTTCAGAGTATACTTAATATATCTTAAAAATGTGTAGAAGTTGTGGGAACCAGCAGTTAGCGTAGTGGCTATGTCGCTGGACTCCCATGTAGTCGACCGCGGTTCGTGTCCCGGACCCGGTGGCTTAAAACTCACGCCGGGTGTGTGTGTGCGTGCGTGCCCAAGATCCCGAGAGGAGAATGGAGGAGAAGGGATTGCGGCGTGACCATCCCCCCTGGGGGGTGATTTCTCGCTTTCTGTCTCTATGTCTCTCTGTCTGTCTGGCGAGCGCACGCGCCCTATAGCAAAAAAACCTCTCCAAAAAAAAAAAAATTGTGTACAAGTTGTCTTACATACTAGGTTTATATCCTTTTTTTTTTTTTTTTTTTTTTGGGTTTTTGTTATAGAGTGCATGCATTTGCCAGAGACTCAGACAGAGAGAGAAGAAAAGTGAGAACTCACCCTCCTAGAGGGATAGCCATGCTGCAGTCCCTTCTCTGTTCTTCTCTCATGATTTTGGGCACACATGCACAGTACCCAGCATGATTTTCAAGCTGCTGAGTCCAGGACTTGAACTGTGGTCAGCCGTATGGGAATCTGTGCTTTAACCACCATGCCACCCATAAATACATTTCTTTTTGAAAGAATTATGTTATTTAACTTTATTATTATTATCATTATTATTTTCCAGTTTGATCAGAGAGAGAAAGAGGAAGTGAGAAAGCAAGCCACCAGGTCTGAGACTTGAACCGTGGTCGGCCATGTGGGAGTCCAGCACCTTTAACCACCATGCCACTTGCCGGCCCCAGTACATTTTTTTTAATAAATGTCTTTATTGTAAAAACTAATCTTAAATGTTCCTTTTTTCTATTTTCTTTCTTTGCAGATATATCTTTGTGGTTTTAGTGGCAGGAACAGGACTTGAACTGTGGTCAGCCGTATGGGAATCTGTGCTTTAACCACCATGCCACCCATAAATACATTTCTTTTTGAAAGAATTATGTTATTTAACTTTATTATTATTATCATTATTATTTTCCAGTTTGATCAGAGAGAGAAAGAGGAAGTGAGAAAGCAAGCCACCAGGTCTGAGACTTGAACCGTGGTCGGCCATGTGGGAGTCCAGCACATTTAACCACATAGCAGATTGGAGACTACGCTTGAAAACCTAGAAAATTTGGATGTCAGTGCTTTTCAGGCCCCTGAAGATTTACTAGATGGCTGTCGGATATATCTTTGTGGTTTTAGTGGCAGGAAGCTGGATAAGCTGAGGAGGCTTATTAACAGTGGTGGTGGCATGCGTTTTAATCAGCTTAGTGAGGATGTAACTCATGTTATCGTGGGAGAGAATGATGACGAACTGAAGCAGTTTTGGAATAAGTCGGCCCACAGGTTATGACAATTTTTAATTCAAAGCAATTTCTACTGTGTAGTTTTCCTTAAGATGGCATATCTGCGTAAGCATGGGAGTAAGATGATAGTCCTTACAGCGTAAACTAACTGTGTACTGTTTTTGTAGGCCTCATGTAGTGGGAGCAAAATGGTTACTAGAGTGTTTTAGTAAGGGTTATATGCTTCCCGAAGAACCATATATCCATGCAAACTACCAGCCGGTGGGAATTCCAGTTTCAGATCAACCTGAGAATAAGACCGCTCTTTTAAAAAAGAAGAACAGCCTTTCTAAGAAGGACTCTGCTCCTGATGAAAAGCACAAGCAAGCTGATGAGGACCTGCTCTCTCAGTATGAAAACGATAGTTCCACAGTAGGTAAGGAGTGATCGCTTCATCCTTGCAGTTAGTGAGACGTTCAGTGGCTAAGTATACATGTATGATTTCTAGTAAGAGCTATTGAACTTTAAGTCAAATCAGTCTATACATTTTAAAGCTTATTTCTTACTGAGAGAGAGGCACGACCCAGTACGGTCCTCTCACCACTGGCCATCCCCAGTGTCAGCCAGTCAGGATCTCAGTCACACATGTGTGCACATTTACATACACACACACACACACACCACAGCCGGTATAGAGGGGCCGTGGAACAGGAACATGGACCACCTCATGTGGCTTCAGCATCGCAGAGCCTTGGGTTCCTGCCATGCCGCTGGCTAGCCTCATTTTGTGCTTTCTATTTGTCCCAAATTTCTGCACTTCCTTGTCTTATTTTGGATGGATCTAGCCTGGGTTCTTCCGTCGCAAATCCCACTTCCAACGCTTTATCTTGCCCTCACTTGATTTAAAAGTTATGTATTCTACTTATATTTTCAGTGATTACCCTTGGAGGTTTTTGTTTGTTTGTTTTTGTTTTGTTTTGTTTTAAGAATTATTTAATTAATTAATTTAAATTTTATCTGAGAGGGACAGAGTCAGAGAGAGGGAAAGTGAGAAAACAAGCCACCAGGTCCAGGTCTCGAACCATGGCTGACCATGTGGTTGTCCAGCACCCCTAACCACTATGCAACCTGCTGGCCCTGTGTTGTTTTCATTTTTTTTTTTTTAAGAGATTTTTGCTATAGGGCATATGCGCTCACCAGAGGGAGAGGCAAAGAAGGACTGGGACTGAGAGACAAAAGGCAAGAAATCACCCCCTGGAGGGAGGCCACACACACGTTCCCAGCATGAATTTTAAGCTACTGGGTCCAGCACTTGAGCCAAGGTTGACTACATGGGAGTCCAGCGATGTAACCATTACGCCATCTGCTGGTCCCACCCTTGCAACTTTTAATGTGCATCTAAAGTTAATAAGGATGCTGCGTTTTAATTTCCTCTTGAATGATAAAGAATCTTAGGATGCTCCAAGGATTCTAAGTGTAAGTCAGTGTACTTCTGAGTTTATTTGCCTGTGGTTTCTTAGACCATCAGGCTAGTTAATGTGAATTTGTACCTTAACCATGGTAACTCTCAGGAGAGATGTTCCCCTCTATGGAATACCAAGTGTTGTTCCTCTCATCTTGCAAGACGGATTTGTTGTTTGGCACATTTTGGCCTGTGTACTGACAGCACTGCCCGTCAGTGGTTCTGGGTGTTTCCTCGGATCTCGGTATGAGACCAAAGACTTGGCTCCTGTCCTTCCACTTGAGACCAGTACATTCCAAGAGTCTAGGTTTCTGTGCCAGTGGTTTCAGGGCAACCACTTAACACTCTAGATTAATGCTGCTTTTTCATTTTAGGCCCTTGAAGATTCCTTTTGCCTTTTTTTTTTTTTTTTTGGAGAGGTTTTTCGCTATAGGGAGCGTGCGCTCGCCAGACAGAGAGAGCGCAAGACAGACAGAGAGACAGAGAGACAGAAAGCAAGAAATCACCCCCAGGGGAGATGGTCACACCGCAATCCCTTCTCCTCCATTCTCCTCTTGGGATCTTGGGAATGCACGCACACGTGCCCGGCGTGAGTTTTAAGCCACTGGGTCCAGGATGTGAACCACAGTCGACCACGTGGGAGTCCAGCGACATAGCCATTACGCTAACTGCTGGCTCCCTCCCTTTGCTTTTTAAAAATAAATTGACTATGTAGTTATAAAGATGCTTTTAATATTTTATCCACTTTTTTTTCTTTTCTTAATTTGCCAGGGCACATGCACTCGCATTAGAGAGACAGAGAAAGAGGAAAGTAAGAAAGCACCTCTCATGGGGAGTAGTCATACCACAGTCCATTTGCATTTCTCCTGTCAAGATCTTGGGCATGCATACACACATGCCTGCTGTGTTTAAGCTACCAGGTCCGGGGCTCAAACTGCACAGTTAGCTCTGTGAGATCCAGCCACCTCAGTACTATGCCAGCCCTTATACACACACACACACACACACACACACACACACACACACAATTACTTTAGTTTTATTATGGGTGTGTGCATTTGCCAGAGAGAGGGAGGGAAGGTGAGAAAGCACCGCCTACCAGAGATGCCATGCTGCAATCCTTATTCCTCGATTGTCCCTGTGGGATTTTGGGCATGCATGCACATGCACCTGGGTGTTTTTCAGGCTGCCAAGTCTGAGTCTCAGACCGCACAGTCAGCCCTGTGGCATCTAGCCACTGGCTGGCCCCTTAACCCTGTATATTAGGGCATTTTGCAGTGGGGAGGTTTCAGATGTCTAGCCCACGGTGCTTCTAGAAATGAAGGCCCTTGCATTCCTTGTGTGTCCTTGCTTCTGTTCACACTGTGGGTAAAGCTGCTGGACTAGTTCCTTACGCTTTAGTGTTGTATCACATCAGAAGATAGTCCTAGTTTTTGAGGATGCTCTGTTAAGAAGCCACGTACTAACTTGAAGGAATTTATACATTTAGCAAGGGTACTAGGTGGAGGGCCGGTGATTTGCTTAGCAAACCTTCCTAAGGCAGGTAGTGGCTTACTGACTTCGTTAGGATCAAGTCTGAGTAAGTCTCAGTGGATCCTCCAGATTCCTTAGAAATGATAGAGTGTTTTACAATTCTTAAAGCAAAGTTCTTTCAAGAAAACTTTTTCTGGACGGACCAGTAGTTAGCGTAATGGCTATGTTGCTGGACCCTGTGCCGTAGTGATTGAAGTGTGGCCAAGGTTCTCAGATTCCATGTTACAGTAATACCCGTTAGCTATAAGATGATTGATAGAAAACACTTCTCAGGACAGCCCATGTTGTGGTTCTAACAGGTGACTGGATCCTACATGACTGACTGTTGGTTCCAGTCCCTGCCCTGGGAGTTGAGAAACATGCCAGGCACACATGCATGCATGTGTGCTTAAAATCTTGCGAGGAGGGAAAGATGGAGAAGGGATTGCAGTACTGCTGTTTCCCATAGTGGGAGCATGCTATATTGGTTTTTGTCTCTGTGTCTCTTTGATGAGTGCATGTGTCCTCGGACCAAAAAGAAAGAAGAGAGGACTTTTTTTTCTCTTCTAGTTGAAGCTAAGAAGTCTGAAGCTGTGAACTCTGAAGCTGGGCCTTTCAATGATTCGACTCATGTTGAAACCTGTAATGATTCTACTCACATTTCTGTTCAAGAGGAAAAGCAGTCTCCTGTCAGTCAGTGCCTCCCTGATGTCCCTGCAGTGCCTGAAGAAGGTGTATTTAGCCGGAAGAGTTTTGTTGTTCTGGGTTTTAGTGATGAAAATGAATCTAATATTGCAAGCATCATAAGAGAAAATGCTGGAAAAATTATATCCCTTCCAAGCAAAACTGTTGCCGATTATGCCGTGGTTCCTCTGCTGGGGTGTGAGGTAGAAGCACCCGCGGGAGAAGTGGTTACAAACACGTGGCTGGTAAGTGCAGCAGGTGGAGCACAGCACTGAGGTGCGTCTCAGGGCAGAGGTGTCGGCGTTCATTTCTGAGGCCGTTCACTTGAGATCAACGATGTTTGGGTTCGAACGCTGTCTGGATTTTGTCTGTAGCAAGGAAAATCCTAAATGACGGAAATGTGACGTGCTGGTCTAGTAGAGATGGCTGTGTCCTGGGGACCCAGCAGTAGCACTCCTTCAAGGAGGGCGCTCCGGGTCATCTCATGCTATGAATGGTTTCTTTTCCTGTGTCTCACAACCAGAGCTTGGACGTCCTTTTGTGCTATCCCACCTCGTTACTCCTCCCTTGTAATTTCATTATTGACTTAAAAAAAGATTTTCAGAGAATTAAGAGGAAATTTTTTTTTTCATTTTTTTTTTGGGGGGGGAGAGATTTTCGCTATAGGGTGCGTGCGGTCGCCAGACAGACAGAGAGAGACATAGAGACAGAAAGCGAGAAATCACCCCCCAGGGGAGATGGTCATGCTGCAATCCCTTCTCCTCCATTCTCCTCTCGGGATCTTGGGCACGCACACACATGCGCCCGGCGTGAGTTTTAAGCCACTGGGTCCGGGACGCGAACCACGGTCGACTACGTGGGAGTCCAGCGACATAGCCATTACGCTGACTGCTGGTTCCCAAGAGGAAATTTTTTATAAACTAATACATCAGAAGAAATTAAACTTAGGGCAGTATTTGGCATAGGGCGGGTGCCACCATGCCCAGGGCAGTATTTGGTAACTGCAGAAAAAATTCTTACTGCTTTTAATATCTTAATACAGGATATATGTTTATATAATTTTTTAATATTATAATTTGGACTATGTTGAGAATGAGCATACACAGGTTGCATTAAAGTAAAATTTCTTTTCATTGAAACTGAAATTACTGCTACTGTAACTGACTCAGTGTAACCCTTAGTTGCCTTTTTCAGGTTGGCTTTACTGTTTCTCTTGCTTTTTAAAGGTCACTTGTATGGACTGTGAGACTTTAGTTGATCCAAAGTCAAGTCCTCTCTTCACGCCGGTCTCCATGATGACAGGAGTGACCCCTTTAGAGAATTGTGTTATTTCATTCAGCCAGTATGCTGGAGCGGAAAAGGAGTCTTTGGTATTTTTAGCAAATCACCTAGGAGCAAGGTATGGAATTAGTGTGCTTGCTGTCTTATATACCTTTGTATTTGTTTCAACTTACTGCAGAACGTTAAAATTAGAGTCTGTGTGGGTGTCATTATTCCATTTATGGGTGGTGTGGTACAGCTGTGTGATGGCTCAGGGTGGCAGAGGGTGGGCACTTGATGGATGCCTGGCAGACTCCTAAAACTTCAGGCATTAGTGCTCTCTCAGCTTTACCCCAGGAAAGGGAATATTAAATCAGGTACACGGGCTGTTACTGAATAGTGCTTGTGTAAACCTAATACCCTTCCATGGTGCCATATGGGTGATTTTTTTATTTTTTCTGTATATGTTCAGTTTCTCTGGTTTTTAGCCAAAAATACGGATGTTAAGTGAGAGCAGTGAATACTTAGAAAGTCAATTTAAAAATTACTTCCAAAATCCATGTTGGGCCAGCCTTAATGGAACTTTAGATGGTAGCTGTTTATAAAAGAAAATGGGCCAGTCTGTGCCCTAGTGGTTAAGGCGACTGCGTTCCATGTGGCCAGTCATGTTGAGCCTCTGACCTGGCAGCTAGGAAAACTCAGAGTATGTGTGCGTGCGTCCCTAACCCCAAAAGGGAAGAGAAATGGAGGAGAAGGGATTGCGACTTACTGTGTCCCATGGACAGTACTTTCTCGATCGCTCTCTTTCTGTCTCTGGTGATCATATGCACATTCTGGCAAATCACAAAAGAAGATATTGATGAACTAAACTTTTATATTAATGGAAAATAGGTTAGATGATGAAGCAAACCCATGATGCTTTTTTTAAAAAGTGATTCAGAACATTTAGATTAAACAAAAAGGATGAGTGAAGATATATAAAATAAATAGAAAGAAAAGGAAACTTGTGAGTTAAAATGATATATTAGGTCATTGGAAAAGTCATGACGTATTTTTTCGTGTTATTCTATGCAGAAATGCGTCATGACTTCTCACACCTAATACAATGTGCTCTGCTGGTGTCGTGGCCACGTGGTTAAAGGAACTGGATCCCACATGGCCCGTCTGACCCTGGGGGCTTGAAAAACACAGCAGGTTTGTGTGCGTGGGGGGGGTGTTTTCCCCAAATCCTGATGGGATAGACAGATGAAGAAGGGATTGTAGCATGGCCACACCCCACTCTGGAGTGCTTTTTTCCTCTCTCTCTCTAAGTTTTTGGCGGGTGCATGCATCCTTTGGCAGATTAAAATAATAATAATAAGAGGATATAATGTGCTATTTATAAATATTTTGCTCCTGTGATTATTACATGCTTCCTTTTGGGGAGAAAGGACAAGGTGGGTGGGTAATGACATTTTCTGTCTATAAATCTGATTTGCTGGGACCAGCCAATTGCATAATGGCTACGTCACTGGGCTCCCATGTAGTTGACCACAGTTCAAGTCCCAGACCTGGTGGCTTAAACTCACAGCGGGTGCATGTGTGTGTGTGCTCATGATCCCAAGAGGAGAACGGAAAAGGGATTGTTGCATGCCCATCCCCCTTGGGAGAGGATGATTTCTCGCTTTCTGTCTCTCTGTCTGTCTCTTTCTGGCGAGCGCACGCACCCTATGCCAAAAACCTCTCAAAAAAAAAAAAATCTAATTTGCTTATGTTTCTATTTATAAAAATTGTAGTGACAGTACATTTTTATCTTGGAGTAATTAAGCATTAGTAATATTGGCTCAATTTAGGATAACATAAACTTTTTTCTTTTCTTTTTTTTTTTTTTTTTTAAGAGATGTTTGCTAAAGGACACATGCACTTGCTAGGGAGACAGAAAAAGAGACAGAAAGTGAGAAATCACCCCCTGGGGAGATGGCCACACTCAGTTCTTTCTCCTCCCTCCTCCATTCTCCTTCCGGGACTTTTGGCACACATGCATATGTCCTGGTGTTAGTTTTAAGCTGTCAGTCCTTGACTCAAACCACGGTCCAACTACATGGGATTCCAGTGGCGTAACCATTACTTCATGTGCTGGTCTTGCATAAACTGTCTTTCAGTCATTATATTTTCTTATACTTACAGGAGCTCTAACCACACCGTTGTATTAGAAATTTTGTTTTTAGTTTGTTGACTAATTGAATATAAGACCATTTGCTTTTCTTTAAATGTACATTTTAGGGTTCAAGAATTCTTTGTTCGTAAATCCAATGCAAAGAAAGGTATGCTTGCCAGTACGCATCTTATATTGAAAGAACCAAGCGGTTCTAAATACGAAGCTGCTAAGAAGTGGAAATTACCTGCAGTTACTATAGCCTGGCTGTTGGAGACTGCTCGACTGGGAAAGAAAAGAGAGGAAACTAATTTTCTGATTGAAAACTCACCTAAGGAAGGTAAATCAATACTCATAGTCTTATATACATATATATTTTTAAAACTTGATGGTTTCTGGGATATGAGTGTGCGAAAGTTTGATTTTCAGAAAGGTAATTGGCTTTGGCTGGGTGCAGGGGGCCACCGTTAGGCGTTTGTTCCCAGGTGGCAGAGTGTTTACTGGTAGCAACAGTCTAATTTGTGTCTGTAATATCTCCTGTAGGCACTGTTCGAAAGCTAGAGGATACAAAAAATATGGGAATGTGGTAGGTCTTCCTAGAAATCTCAGTGTGCACTTGGAGCCCACGTCGACTCCTTGCCCTCACCTTTGGGCTTCCGAGTGTTTCCTCCGGATCACACCCCGTTTACCTGCTCTTCCCTCTGCTCTCCCCACTCAGCTAGGGCATCACTTTCCCTGGGAAACCTGCCTTGACTCACCAGGTGTGACCGTCTTGCCACGACATTCGGTTCAGCCACAATACTGTGCCTGTACTCTGCCTTTAATAGCGCTTTTCTCTTTTACTCTTTAAAGTTTTTTGCTATAGGGCACATGTGCTTCCTGGAGAAAGACGGAAAGGGAGGGAGAGAAAAAGTGAGAAAACACCTCCCAGGGGGATGACCACACCATAATCCCTTCTCCATTCTCCCAGGACTTGGGAGACACATACACACCTGGTGTGTTTTTCAAGTCACCAGGTCTGGGACTTGAACTGTGCAGTCAACCATGTGAGATCCAGCTGCCTTAACCTCCACACCACCTCTTTGCCCAATACTGGCTGGCTTTTTTGTCTTGCTAAACTTATAAGCTCCATAAAGGCTGGGAATATGTATGTCTTGTGATTTCTGTATTTCCGGTGTCTAGCATTGGGTCTGGCATGGAGTAGCCATCTGCTAGGTATTTTCATTAGATGATGAATAAAGTTAGAAGACAGCAGGTTTTAAGGGAAAAAAACAGCACCCTTTTTTCTTTTTTGAGAGGTTTTTGCTATAGGGCACTTGAGTTCGCCAGAAAGACAGGGAGACAGAAAGCGAGAAATCACCCCCACAGGGGGGATGGCCACGCCACAATCCCTTTTCCATTCTCCTCTCGGGATCTTGGGCACGCATGCACGTACATGCTCCCAGTGGGAGTTCAAGCCGCTGGGTCTGGAACTCAAACTGCAGTTGACTACATGGGAGTCCAGTGACATAGCCATTACACCAGCTGCTGGTCCCAACAGCATCCTTTCTTATAAGATAATGGTGTACCTGGGCAAATTTCAGGGACAAATCAGTAGTAGCTCAGGAATAGTTTTCAAACCACTACTTATTTACCCAGGCAGGGTGGAATTTTATGACGAGGCAAAAGTGACATTGAGATCATAGTAAAATTTCATTTAAGGGGCAGTGAGTAGGGCGTGGTGGTTAAGGCAGCTGGATCCCACATGGCCCACCACGGAGTTTGATTCCAGACCCAGCGATTTAAAAAACATGGTGGGTACCTGTGTACGCGTGCGTGCCCAAAACCCTGAGAGGACAAGGGAGGAGAAGGAGTTGCACTGTGGCCATCCATCCCCACGGTGGTGATTTCTCACTTTCCCTTTCTTTCTTTCTCTGTCTGTCTGTCTGTCTCTGGCAAATGCACATACCCTGTAGCAAGAAAAATTCATTCAGGACTTTGCAAACACTTGTCTGTAGTTAGCTCTGAGTACATGTAATTGGGATTTTCTCTTTACTCTGTCATTCATTATGGTGACATTTATTGATACTATTTCTGGCAAATAGGTTTATTTAGACCATATTACGATAATAACATGAAATGTGGTACCTGTTTTCATTAAATGTTTATTTCACTTACTATGCTTGCCTATCTGCCTGTATTTTAAGGCATCATCTGGCTTGCTTGGAAAGTAGTTATGTAACTGCAGTGTAAGATACCTGAGAGCATGGAAACTAGTATCGATGAGATGTAAAAACATCTTTTCATACATGCTGCTTTAGAGGGGGAAGAATGGATTTTAATGGCTTTTTTTTTTTAATGGCTCTTTTCTTTTCACTTTAACTCTAGAACAAGATTTAGAAACTGAAATAACAAATGGAGCAAGTAGAAATTCAGAGCATTCTGGCCCTTGCTTGGAAACTCACAGGAAAACAGCTGTCACACCCTTAGACATGAACCGCTTCCAGAGTAAAGCTTTCCGTGCTGTGATTTCACAGCACAACGGACAGGCTGTGCCCTCCCTGGCAGCAGGACAGCCACTTCAGAAGGAGCCCTCGTTACACCTGGACACACCATCAAAGTTTCTGTCCAAGGACAAACTCTTCAAGCCTTCTTTTGATGTGAAGGTAAGGTGTATAGAAATACTCTTGGACTTAACGATTTCTTACTGCTTATTAAGTCAAAGCACTAAATTTTGCACTGCCTCTGAAGCTTATAGTAGTACATTTTCTAGAGACTTTGACAAGTGTATTCGTATTATTGGGTCCACTGTGCAGAGAACGCTAATCTAGTCCCAGAGTCGAGATAACAGCCTTAGATCTACATGGTAAGAATCCAGGGCATCTGGGATTCAAGCACTGTCTTGCTTGCATGACTCCAGGCAGAACATTTAATGTAGCCAACCGTCATTTCTTCTTTCATATGAGAGAATAGCAACACCTGCTCCGAAAACTCAGAGTGCTTGTGAAGACCGAATGACGTCCTGTGAGGAGCTCATGCTGTGGACTGTGTGGTCACAGGAACACATCGCTGCCTCGCTCTTGGAGGGCGCCCGGGGCTTGCTCTGTGGAAACACTGCATCATCAGCTTACTTTCAGTTACTGCCCCTGAAGAGTTAGTAGCACCTTTGGTTGATCTGAGCAGTGTGTTAAGGCCCATTTGCAAATCAAGGACTAATGTAACCTTCCAAGTGGTTTAATTGTATTTCCCACAGGTGGTTTCCTTACACTCCTTCCTTAGTAGCTTTTGGCCTCCCGGTGGCCATTCAAACCACTGTCTGATCTAATTGTGAGACTCCGCACATTGTTACACCATTCGTCTGTTGGTATTTGCTCATAGATCATTAAGAAATGACGTTTTGGGACCAACAGTTAGCATAATGGCTATGTCGCTGGACTCCCATGTAGTCGACCGCGGTTCGAGTCCTGGACCCGGTGGCTTAAACTCACGCTGAGCGCGTGTGCGTGTATGCCCAAGATCCTGAAAGGAGAAAGAAGGGATTGTGGCGTGGCCATCCCCCCTGGGGGGTGATTTTTCGCTTTCTATCTTTCTGTCTGTCTCTGTCTGTCTGGCGAGCGCACACGCCCTATAGCAAAAACCTCTCCAAAAAAAAAAAGAAAAGACGTTTTAATAATTTTTACTAGTGTGTTCTAGAACAGATTTATAAAGTTTACAGATTGTCGATCTTCACAAAATAAATACTGGTGACCAGGACGATTTTCTTTAAGCTAATTTATACCTTCATCTTGATCAAAATTTCAGTCATGCACATGAAACACCCATCTTTAATATATTGTGTTGTTGGCAAAGTTATGATGTAGTTTTACATAGAAAAACATAGAAAAAAGACATCCTGACTTTCCTGACTACCTAATAATAATTCAGAACCCTGAACTTTCATAAAACCTCTTCTGGAGTAATATTTTGTACTGTGATGAACACTGCCTTTTTTTAAGAGGTATTTGCCTTAGGGCACATACACCTGCCAGAGAGAGAGAGAAGGAAAGTGAGAAATCAGCCTCCACGAGGGATGACCAAACTACAGTATCTTTCTACATTTTTCTCCAGGGATCTTGGGCATGCGTGCACACATGCCTGGTGTGATTTTCAAGCCATTGGGTCTGGGACTTGAACTGTGGACGGTCACGTGAGAGTTCAGTGCTGTAACTGCTATGCCATATACTGGCCCCAAACACACTGCTGCCTTTTTTTTTAAAGAATTATTTTTTTGACTATCTTTCTTGCTTTCATTCATTCATTCATTTATTTATTTTTAATTTGGCCAGTGAGGGGGACAGAGTGAGAGAGAGATAGAGGGAAAGTGAGAAAGCAAGCCACTAAGTCTGAGACTCAAACCGTAGTTGGTCATGTGGGAGTCCAGCACCCTTAACCACCATGCCACCTGCTGGTCCTCCACTCTGCTTTTTACACTTGAAACCATAGAAGAAATTACTGTCTTAGGAACTTTGAGATTTAGGATCAGGCCTCTATCTCTTTATCCCCTGTTAACTCCTATAGCAAGTTACCTTCTTAAAACGTCAGTGTTTCCATCTGTAAATAGCGCTCTCTAAAGTCTCATAGCTCTCGTAGCTCGTGCCAGACTCTGAGTAGTAAAGGAAGTAGTATTAGCCAGCAGGAAAGCAGTAGAAAGAGTTCTGGTCGTTCAGAGCATTCTTTTCTAGATACCTTGCTATTTGTTTTGCAGTAGAAAGCTAGTATGTCTGAAATAGTACAGAAAACCCCACACATTAAAGATTTGATCATGGGGCCACAGGTATTGTATTGGTTAAGGCACTGGACTCCCACACGGTCGACCATGGTTCAAGTCTCGGACCCAGTGGCTTGAAATTCGTGTCAGGTGCATGTGCGTACCTGCCCACATCCTGAGAGGAGGATAGAGGAGAAGGGATTGTTGTGTGGCCGTTCCCCCGGGGGGCGGGGGGTGTGCTTTCTCACTTTTTCTCTGTCTTTGTCTGTCTCTGGCTAGCACATGTGCCCTATAGCAAAAATCTCTCTAAAAAAAAAAAAAAAAAAAAAACTGATTGCATCATTGGTCCTGCCATGGTGGCACTAACTGGTAGGGCACTGCCATGATGCTGGAGCCACATGGGAAACCCATGGGTTTGGATCCCAGGTCAGCCTGAACACGCCTACAAGTGCACTGTGTTCCTGGCCACTGGAAGGCTGGGAGGAGGACCACAACGCAGCAAGATGCTACCATGGGTCCTAATCTGTCTGTCTTTTATGAAATATGTAAGTAATGTAATAAGTGAATGTTCTTTTTCTAAAGAACATTTCCTTGTTCAGAGCTAACACTTTGTTGAGCAGTATCTGGTGTTGTGGAACATAAAGCAGCGCTATCAGTAGTTCTTCAGAATGAGGTTGGAAGTTGTCATTGAATTCTTTTAGTCAAAAGCTAGGAGAGCCTATGGAATAATCAGAAAATTGACCATTTATTTTAATCTCTTTTTCTGCCATTATGAACTGAATACCATCCTGGATAATTTCTCAAGAATAGGGCTTTATTCAACTTGAGGTTTTGGAGAGTCAAGGTCAGGGCTGTATCTGTCCATGTCCGCCTCATCCTGGCCTTAGAAACCCATCTGTATGCAATCGAAGGGATCCACCCTGATGACCGTACCTGATCCTGATCACCTCCCCAAGGCCCTACCCTTTTAATCCCACCACAGCCTAATTTTAACACATGAGTTTCTGGGATAATATTCAAATTATAACACCATTTATTAGACCACACACACATACACACACACACACACACACCTGCCTTTTATTTATACTTAACTCTTAATTGATACACATCAGAGAGGTATAGCAAATGTCCTATTTTTGTTCATTTGACTGTTTTCGTTTCTTGTATTGGTGTGTTTCTATTTCCCCTGGCAACTCTTTTTGCCGCCTCCTTGTTCTGGGCCTGTTGTATTTTTTATAGGGCCCTTACTGCCCTTTTTAACTTAACCTTTTATTTGTCAGTTTTAAATTAGGTTTCTTTGACTCTATTACAGCCGACTTTATTCTGCTTCCCCCTTTTCTCTCTTTTTATTCCCCTCTCTCTCTCTTTTTTTTTGGCCAGAGGGAAAATTACTGGCCAGAAAGAGACAGGCAGAGAGATGGAGGAGGAGAAAGAGCCATAGCGGGCATGATCATCCTTCAACCCCATCTCCATTTCTACACCGTGGTGGGGTTTCGCTCTGGCACACACATGCACTTGCTGTGATTTAAGCTTTCGAAGCCTGCTGGGGCCCGGGTTCGGACTGCTCGACCACATGGGATCTAGTTTGCTTAGCCACGAAGCCGATTGAACAGCCCCTCTCTTTTACTATTTCTAATTGCATTTTTCTACTTCGTTAGAAAATAAAATGTTTGTTTATACTTCAACTAATGGTCCTCATCCTTATTTTGGTTTTTGGTTGCTATCCTTTGGATTCTGAGTTTGCAGATAATATTTAAAGTCCTATGAGAATAGATGCCAAGAGAGTAGGAGGCAAGGGGAGTGAGGAGGAAAGCTGCAAATTGTGTTAGAGACCAGATCAGAGAGGTATTTCCAAGACTCAGGAGAGTTTAGCTTATGTCTGGTGCTTCTCAAACATCAAGAAAGGTGAGAACATGGGACCAGCAGTTAGCATAATGGCTGTATCACTGGACTCCCACGTAGTCGACTGCGGTTCGAGTCCCAGACCTAGTGGCTTAAATTCACGCCGGGCACATGTGCGTGTGTGCCCAAGATCCCAAGACGAGAATAGAGGAGAAGGGATTGCGGTATGGCCATCCCCACTGGGGGGTGATTCTTGCTGTCTCTCTGTCTCTCTCTGTCTTTCTGGTGAGCGCACGTACCCTATAGCAAAAGCCTCTCAAAAAAAAAAGAAAAAAGAAAGGTGAGAACAGAAAATTGAACACTGGATTTAGCATTGTGAAGGCCACTGATGATTGTAACAGGAATGGTTTTGGAATTATGGTAGAGGTAGAAGTCAGGATGGGTTCATAGAGGAATGTGAGAATTGGAGACATTGAGTGCTTTTTGCATCTTGCTGTAAAGGGGAGTTGAGCAATGGGATTGTAGGTGGTGTAGGACGTAGTAGTCTCAAGATAAGATTATTTGGGGGACCACCAGTGGCATCGTGGTTAAGGTGCCTGACTCCCACATGGCTGACTGCAGTTTGAGTCCTGGACTTGGCGGCTTGCTTTTTCACTTTCCCTCGATCTGTCTCTCTTTGGTGAATTAACAGTGAAAAGACAACAGTAAAACAAACCAAAAAAACCCAGTAAAAACAACAACAATAAATAAAATTAAATAATTCGTTTAAAAGAGGAAGACTATTTCGTTTTTAAGATAGAAGCAATAATTGCATATTGCTGTGATGGGTCCAGCAGAGATCCAGGTAGTGATGTCGATAAGAGAAGGGAAAACAAAGCTTCAGCCTATAGAGAGACCTACTGTGTTTCTGCAGAATAGACCAAGGATCATAAAGATCCATATTGGTATTTAAGTCCTGTTTAAAATGGAAGTAGAAATTGTGTGAAAAATCTAGAAAAAAATCATTGAGGCAAAGTATTAGCGTTACCAGTTACTAAAACCTCCTATAAAGTTGCTGCATTTAACTGTATTATTATCACATAAGTAATTAAACCAATGCAAAAGATTACCCCCCACAGGTAGGAGATTTATTGTATGGTAAAAATGGCATTCAGTTCAGACATACATATAATTAAACATCAGATTGGGATTAAAGCTCACATTTTACATTAGAACAAAGTTTGGATGATCAGATATTTAAATATAAGAAATGAGCCCATAAAATTTCCAAAACCAGTCATGAGAAAGATTGTTTTTAAATAATTTCAGTGTGAAGAAAGCCTTTCTAAATTATAACCAACATCCTAACACATATAAAAGATTCATATAAATTTGACAGCATTCAGAGATTGTCCCTAACAAAAATTTGACAGATGACAAGCTGAGAACAGGTATGTGGCTATCATATCACAGTGGACACAGATGCACCTGATGCATACAGTAAGTGCAAAATTATATTCATGTAAGTGAGTATTCTTTTTTTTGAGAGGTTTTTCGCTATAGGGCGCGTGTGCTTGCCAGACAGACAGACAGAGAGAGACATAGAGACAGAAAGCGAGAAATCACCCCCCAGGGGGGAAGGTCACGCCGCAATCCCTTCTCCTCCATTCTCCTCTCGGGATCTTGGGCACGCACGCACACGCGCCCGGTGTGAGTTTTAAGTCACTGGGTCCGGGACATGAACTGCGGTTGACTACGTGGGAGTCCAGTGACATAGCCATTACGCTAACTGCTGGTTCCCGTAAGTGAGTATTTTAAAATACAACCCTGGGACCAGAAGTTGGCATAATGGTTATGTTGCTGGACTCCCATGTAGTCAGCCTCAGTTCGAGTCCCAGACCCGGTGGCTTAAACTCAGGCTGTGTGCGTGTGCGTGAGTGCCCAAGATCCCAAGAGGAGAATGGAGGAGAAGGGATTGCAGCGTGGCCATCCCCCCCAGGGGGTGATTTCTCGCTTTCTCTCTCTCTCTCTCTCTCTCTCTCTCTCTGTCTTTCACGCAAGTGCACGCACCCTATAGAAAAAACCTCTCTTAATGAATGAATGAATAAATAAATACAACCCAATAGAAAATTGGGTAAAGGACATAGGAACAGGTGTCAAAAAACTAAGAACAAATATTAAACATGCATGAAGATACTTTATCTCATCAGTGTAAGAGAATGGAAAATTAAAGCACAATTTTTTCTTCTTTTTCTCTGTCTTTTCATACCTGTAGGATGCACTTGCAGCCTTGGAAACTCCAGGAGGTCCCAGTCAACAGAAAAGGAAACTGAGCACACCGCTCTCAGAAGTCATCGTTAGAAATCTGAAACTCGCTTTGGCAAATAGCTCTCGAAATACTGTGGCTCTTTCTGCCAGCCCTCAACTAAAGGATGCCCAATCCGAGAAGGTAGAGTAAATTCCCTAATTAAAAGGAAGGCCTAGATAAAATATTTCAAACAATAATGGCTAATCTTTTTCTTTTCTTTTCTGTGGACAGGAAGAAGCTCCAAAGCCACTTCACAAGGCGGTAGTATGTGTTAGTAAAAAACTCATTAAGAGGCAGAGCGAACTAAATGGAATTGCAGCCTCTCTGGGAGCAGAATACAGGTAGTTAGCTCATCGTTCTGTTTGGAGGTGATGTGGCCTAAGAATATTAGGAGTCCTAAAGCAATTGGAACTACAAGGAAACTTTTATTTTTTATTTTTTATATATGATCAGTTATTTAATTAGGTTCTTGGCAAAAATAAATCTAGAACACCAATTTGTGCGGATAAACTCCATTTGTAAGGGCAAACACGGATTGCAGGTAGCCCTGGAGCTGAGGAACATCTTTGATTTTTGGTAAAATTTGTGAATCCACAGCTTTCTGATCAATCTTGTGCTGCTCTGAAATCTCGTATTTCTCCTTCTCTGTGTCGGAGATCTCACTTTCCTGGTGTCTGGGCTTCCGCAGTTTCTTTTTCTTGAAGTAAGCATCGGTAAGGTGCTTTGGGATTTTTACTTTGCTGATATCTATTTTCGTGGAGGTGGCAATGACAAATATCTGGTGTGTTCTACAAGGTGGAACTCGATTGAGAACCAGCGGTCCAGTTACAAGTAGCAAGCCACTGCTCAGCTGCTTCAGGAAACCCACTCCCTTGCCTCTGTGGCATCCAGTGAGGATGATCAGAATGGTCCCAGGAGTGATGCTGGCTCGCAGATTTCTCACATGCTGACTGAAGGGTTTTTTGTTGTGGCTCAACAGCTTTTGAGGCACATCTTCAGTAGGATGATACCTAGGCATTTTGCGCAGTTTAACCACCTGGGTACCACTATTCTTGTCTCCACCAACTGGTTTTGTGACAGTCGCCAAGAACTTTCTCCTTTTTCTTTTCAATCCTGGATTCAGTGACCGAATATTTCCTCTTGTACATGGCCTTCCTGGAATACATGGCAGACCGGGAATATCTGCCGATGCCCCGGAGTAGGACAGGGTTTCAGCTGCAATGGGGCTTCCCCTTCTTGGGCTTTATAGCCTTGGGGTCATCCTTTTTAACCTTGCCACTGGCATCAGCCTTCTTGGCTTCAGGTTTCTTCTCCTTAGTATCCTGCTT